CCCTACCTTTATCTAAATACTGTTCACATATTTGCTTCAATGTAAACACTTGATCTACACATCCCCTACCCATTCGAAAGCCTCTTTGGTCATCTGCAATCCTGCTCTCTGTCTTGCCTCTAATTTTTCATTAATAACCCTACCATACACTTTACCTGGTATACTCAGTAAACAGTTCAGGTTATGCTTAATTACTAAAAAATTTACTAAAAGATAAACATCAATACTCACAAAACTAATACGTAAATCAAAGCAAATGTATTATGAAAATAGATTTAGCGAATTGAAAGGTCACCCTGTGGAAATAAATGGTATAAAATACCGACACAGTGGAAATATAAACACACATGCAGTTTAATGTGATCCTTTATTGACAACGTTTCGCCCACACAGTGGGCTTTTTCAAGTCACAAACAGATTTGTTTGCGACTTGAAAAAGCCCACTTTGTGGGCGAAACGTTGTCAATAAAGGATCACATTCAACTGCATGTGTGTTTATATTTCCAAAGGTCACCCTGCCTCGGTGGGAGACAGCCGACTTGATTAAAAAAAAAAAAGGTGACATGAAAAGTACCTGGCAAACCCTCTCCAAAATTTTGGGCTCTAGGAAACCGTCTGGAAATAGAGAGAGAAGCTTGTCTAAACCAGATGAACCTCACATGCAACCTATAGACACAGCCAACAAATTTAATGTCTTCTTCTCTACTATAGGAGCAAAGCTAGAAAGTCAAATTCCTAGCTCAAATACCCAGCCGAGCGAGTACCTCACTGGCAGCTATCCAAATACATACTCTATTTCTAGCTCCAACTAATCCCACTGAAGTCTCACTCATCATTAAAGAACAAATCAGGTGATCTAGATAACTTGCTGCTATTCATATATAAAAAAGCTGCACCAGAACTGTCACCCATTATTGCAACAATGTTTAACAAATCTATAGCATCCTCAACCTTCCCATCTATACTCAAGACAGCAAGGGTCACCCCGATCCACAAAGGAGGAGATCCAGCTGATTTGAACAACTACAGACCCATATCAAACTTGCCCTTACTCTCCAAGAAATTTGTAGCCCTTGTGGCTTAGCGCTTCTTTTTGATTATAATAATAATCCAAGAAATTTGAAAAAATAATACACAAGCGACTTTACTCCTACCTTACATCCAACAATATACTTAACCCATGCCATTTTGGATTTTGACCAAAAAAAAGTTTGAATGACACTATTATACAAATGCTTGACCTAATATACACAGCTCTCGATAAAAATGAATATCCTCTTGGGCTCTTTATCGACCTACGAAAACACTTGACACAGTTGACCACAATCTCTTGAACCTCGTACTGAATCATTACGGCATCAGAGGACATTCTCTTGACTACCAATATTCCTATCTTAACGACAGACACCAGTATGTACATGCAAATGGAGTCAACTCCGCTATCCAACCTGTAGCTGTAGGAGTACCCCAGGGTAGTGTCCTAGGCCCACTCCTCTTTCTCATCTACATCAGTGATCTCCCCAATGCATCCCAACTCCTTCAACCAGTTCTATTCGCAGATGACACTACATATGTCTACTCCCACTCAGACCCAGCTGTGCTTGGAAACACTGTAAACAATGAACTGGTAAAGATATAGGCTTGGATGATGACCAACAAACTCACTCTCAACATAGACAAAACATACTTCATGCTGTTTGGCAACAGAACCTCAAATATCCAACTCAACATACTGTTAAAAATGGTTCCCCTATATCAAGACACACGGAGGGCAAATTTCTAGGTCTTCTCCTTGACTGTAATCTTAAATTTCAGTCCCATGCCCATCACATAGCCAAGAAAATTTCCAAATCAGTAGGAATCCTTTCCAAGATACAATACTGTGTACCACAAACGACTCTCCTTACCCTGTACCACTCTCTAATATATTCTTACCTCACCTATGGTATTTGTGCCTGGGGCTCAACCTCAACCAACCACCTTAGACCCTTAATAATCCAACAAAAAGCTGGTGTGCGGGTGATAACCAGCTCCTGTTCTAGACAGCACACCCCACCACTTTTCAAAAGACTCAACTTGCTAAATATACAAGACATACACTCTTTTTATTGTGCCTACTACATATACAGAATATTAAACTCCACTGTAAACCCTCCCCTAAAACTACTCCTCGACAGTTACAACAGAATGCACAGGCACAATACAAGGCATAAGGCACTTTTCAACATCCCTCAAGTCAGACTCTCACTATGCAAGAACGCTCTGCACATAAGGCCCAAAGATCTGGAGCTCGCTACCGGAACAGGTCAAGGATCCCTTGACAGCTTATAAATTTAGGACTTCGCTAAAAAATCATCTTATCTCACAATATTAACCAAATCAACCAAACGTCTGTTAACTAGTTTTATTATGTGGCCTCTAGGGTCTTAATCCTGCCAATCAATAAAATCGTCTTTCTTTTCTTTCAACACACCGGCCATATCCCACCAAGGCAGGATGGCCCAAAAAGAAAAACAAAAGTTTCTCTTTTTAAATTTAGTAATTTATACAGAAGGGGTTACTTGGCCCTTGCTCCTGGCATTTTAGTCGCCTCTTACAACACTCATGGCTTACGGAGGAAGAATTCTGTTCCACTTTCCCATGGAGGTAAGAGGAAATAAACAAGAACAAGAACTAGAAAGAAAATAGAAGAAAACTCAGAGGGGTGTGTATATATATATGCTTGTACTTGTATGTATAGTGTGACCTAAGTGTAAGTAGAAGTAGCAAGACATACCTGAAATCTTGCATGTTTAAGAGACAGAAAAAGGACACCAGCAATCCTACCATCATGTAAAACAATTACAGGATTCCATTTTACACTCACATGGCAGGACGGTAGTATCTCCCTGGGCGGTTGCTGTCTACCAACCTACTACCTACAATAAAATTGTCTTGTTTCTCAATTTTAACCAAATCTGCCATAACATCTGCTAATTAGTCTTATCATGTGACCACCTAGCTTTTAATTCTGCCATTCATAAAATATTACCGCCTGCACCATTACTTGTAAGTTAGATTTTGTACTAAGTTTAAAGAAGATTGTATTAAGTTCACATAAGATTGTAAAATAGCTAACCACTATTCCTTGTTTAGTTTTAAGTATAGTTGCTATGTACTATTATCTTATCTAGTTTTAATTAGTTACTATGTACAGTGGAACCTCAAATATCGAACTTTCTTTGGTCCAGAAGGCTGTTCGAGTGCCTTTACCGAATGAATTTATTCCCATGAAGAATAATGTAAATTTAGGTTAGTCCATTTCAGACCCTCAAAAATACACTTATAAAAGCACTTACAAAAATACACTTACATAATTGGTTGTGTTGGGAGCAGTTCGATTTTTGAGGTTCCACTGTATTAGGATTAGTTTGTCCAAAATGCCTCAGCATGATAGTGGCTATCTTTGTAGTTAGCAAATCAACATTGTAGTTACACATTGTAACCTTTACAAAGAAATAAACTTTATTATTATTTATTATTATTACAGTGGACCCCCGGTTAACGATATTTTTTCACTCCAGAAGTATGTTCAGGTGCCAGTACTGACCGAATTTGTTCCCATAAGAAATATTGTGAAGTAGATTAGTCCATTTCAGACCCCCAAACATACACGTACAAACGCACTTACATAAATACACTTACAAAATTGGTCACATTCGGAGGTAATCGTTATGCGGGGGTCCACTGTATTATTATTATTATAATTTAATGTAGGTTGGTAGACAGCAACCGCCCAGGGAAGTACTACCGTCCTGCCAAGTGAGTGTAAAGCGGAAGACTGTAATTGTTTTACATGATGGTAGGATTGCTGGTGTGTCTTTTTTTCTGTCTCATACACATGCAAGATTTCAAGTACGTCTCGCTACTTCTACTTACACTTAGGTCACTTTACACATACATGTACAAGCATATATATACACACCCCTCTGGGTTTTCTTCTATTTTCTTTCTAGTTCTTGTTCTTTTTTATTTTCTCTTACCTCCATGGGAAGTGGAACAGAATTCTTCCTCCGTAAGCTATGCGTGTTGTAAGAGGCGACTAAAATGCCAGGAGCAAGGAGCTAGTAACCCCTTCTCCTGTATATATTACTAAGTGTAAAAGGAGAAACTTTTATTTTTCCTTCTGGGCCACCCCGCCTCGGTGGGATACGGCCAGTGTGTTAAAAGAAAGAAAGATTATTATAATTTTTACAATCTCTTTTGTCCCCTTCCCTTTATATGAAGGAACTATACATGCTTTCTGCCAGTCCCTAGGTACCTTCTTTCATAAATTTATTAAACAAAAATACCAACCACTCCACAACATCTTCACCTACTTTTAACATGTCTGTCATGCTCCCGTCAGTTCCAGCTGCTTTACCCCCTTTCATTCTACGTAATGCCTCGCGCACCTCTCCCACACTCACATCCTGCTCTTCTTCACTCCTAAAAGATGTTATACCTCCCTGGCAAGTGCATGAAATTATTGCCTCCCTTTCTTCAACATTTAAAAGTTCCTCAAAATATGTGTGCCATCTACCCAATACTTCCAGCTCCCCATCTACTAGGTAAGACACATATGCAACAGTTAGGTATATTTATTATGAAACGTTTCGCCTACACAGTAGGCTTCTTCAGTCAAGTACAGAAAAGTTGATAGAAGCAGAAGATACTTGAAGACTTTTCTGTACTTGACTGAAGAAGCCTACTGTGTAGGCAAAACGTTTCATAATAAAGATACCTAACTGTTGCATATGTGTCTTACCTAACAACCTGTCGGTATTTTATACCATTTTAATGTCCCCATCTACTAACTCCCCTACTCTGTTTTTAACTGACAAATCTATTCATTCCCTAGGCTTTCTTAACCTGTTTATCTCATTTCAAAATTTTTTCTATTCTCAGCAAAATTTATTGACAGTATTGTATTATTGTCTTTGATTGATCATTATATTTGTTTATTTTGTAACTTTTTGCAGGTGAAAGAGGATATGCGGCTGGCTCAGGTCAACAGAAAGCATCTTTCTGAAGAAGATAAATTAACTTTAGATCATTTTCTGTATGATAACCAAAGAGGTTCATGCAAGACATTTTTAGAAATCCTGAAATCAGAAGATTATGTAGCTGGAAAGTCTGAAAAAACCTGGCCCCCTGAAGATAAAAAAGAAGTGGATGATGATGTTGAGATCATAGGTAAGTGGGCAGATAAGTTTTCATGTACTGTATTTTATGTTAATATATGTACCAACAGAATTCTTCCTCCATAAGCCATACATGACGTAAAAGACAACTAAAATGCCGGGAGCAAGGGGCTAGTAACCCCTTCTCCTGTATACATTACTAATTTTAAAAAGACAAACTTTCATTTTTCTTTTTAGATCACCCTGCCTCGGTGAGATATGGCTAGTTTGTTGGGAAAAAAAGTATGTTCCAACACTGTTATGTGGGTGTCAAAGATGAGTTTTAAATCCTATAGCGAGAGGAGGCTTCAGGCAGTGGAGATAGTGGCCCTGGTGATGAAATGGGTAAAGCCAAATTTATTCAATTTACAGAGGTACAAAATACTGATACTGCTGGAGATGTAACAAAAGGGGATGATGCCTCGGGGAATAGTGTTGACACATTACTAGTAAAAACTGGTGGAAGCACTGATGTCCATACAGGGGTGGTAGGTAGAGGGGAAACAGAAAAAAATGCTCCAGTAGCGAATGCAGCCACAAAAAATCTTGGTAAACAAAATTCCAATCTATGCAAATTCTATGCCTTGGGTATCTGCAGGCATGGTATATCTGGTAAAACTGGTGAGACATGCATCTTTGACAATCCCAAAGAATGCTGCACCCACATGACAACAGGAGGGTGCAACTCCCCTTCCTGTAACTGATTTCACCCCAAAATGTGTTACTCATCATGCCATGAAAGAAAATGCTACAACATATACTGCCAGGCACCTCATCTAAAGGGGACAAGAAGACACAGACCAGCTAGACTATGGGAAACAAAAGAAAGGAGCCATGACCTCTCCAGAGAAGGTTTTTTAGTACTAGGAAGGAAAACAGACTGGCAAGAAATGATGCAAATCTTAAACCAACTGAAAACACTTCTGGAGCAGAGAGACAGTCATTGGCCTCCACTCCAGAACAACAGATATTAGAGCCAGCAAATAAACATCCTCCTCCCTTCTTCATTGGGAAGTGGAACAGAATTCTTCCTCCGTAAGCCATGTGTGTAGTTACAGGCAACTAAAATGCCGGAAGCAAGGGGCTAGCAGCCCCTTCTGTATACATTATTAAAGTTAAAAAGAGAAACTTTTTTCTCTTTGGGCCACCGTGCTTCGGTGGGATATGACCAATTGAAAGAAGAATAAGAAATAACCCCAGCACCCCCCCAAATTCCATCAATATAACTACATTTGCTTTTGCAAACATTCAGGGTCTAAAGCCGTGAACAAACAACAAAATTCCTTACATCAAGGGACTGCTCAAGGAGTCAAATGCAATGTTTACAGCTTTTACAGAGACCCACATAAAGGATCATTTTGACAATGAAATATGGATCTCAACTTAACCTGTTTAGATGCAACAGCCTAAACAGGCAACAAGGGGGAGTTGGCTTGTACATCACAGAGTTCATTTGCTCAGAACTACTAAACACCTCAAATGATGTAGTTGAAGTTTTGGCAGTAAAGATTGAAAACCAAAACCTTGTCATTGTAGTTGTATACAAACCTCCAGATGCAACTTCCCAGCAATATTTCAACTTCAGTAACAAAAACATATAATGGTAACAAGTCAACCATGTCCTAAATGAAATGAGCTGGGAAGATATCCTAAAGAACACGGATCCGAACCTTTGCCTAGAAAAAATTAACTCTGTGGTTCACGAGGTCTACTGAAGGCACATTCTATTAAGAAAAATAAAGAGAAGATGTAAACTAGAAAGAGAGAGAGACTCCCTATACAGACGAAGGCAAAGAATCAGAGCTGCTGAGAGGGGCCAATATTCGTATCTGAAATATGAAGGGAGGCACTAGTCAGTGAAATAGCAAATATCGAACTTAAGCTGAAGGAATCTTACAGGAGACAAGAATCTTAGGAAGACCTGGAGAGAGTTCTGGGGGTCAACGCCCCCGCGGCCCGGTCTGTGACCAGGCCTCCTGGTGGATCAGAGCCTGATCAACCAGGCTGTTGCTGCTGGCTGCACGCAAACCAACGTACAAGCCACAGCCCGGCTGATCAGGAACTGACTTAAGGTGCTTGTCCAGTGCCAGCTTGAAGACTGCCAGGGGTCTGTTGGTAATCCCCCTTATGTGTGCTGGGAGGCAGTTGAACAGTCTCGGGCCCCTGACACTTATTGTATGGTCTCTTAACGTGCTAGTGACACCCTGCTTTTCATCGGGGGATGGTGCATCGTCTGCCAAGTCTTTTGCTTTCGTAGTGAGTGATTTTCGTGTGCAAGTTCGGTACTAGTCCCTCTAGGATTTTCCAGGTGTATATAATCATGTATCTCTCCCTCCTGCGTTCCAGGGAATACAAGTTTAGGAACCTCAAGCGCTCCCAGTAATTGAGGTGTTTATCTCCGTTATGCGCGCCGTGAAAGTTCTCTGTACATTTTCTAGGTCGGCAATTTCACCTGCTTGAAAGGTGCTGTTAGTGTGCAGCAATATTCCAGCTAGATAGAACAAGTGACCTGAAGAGTGTCATCATGGGCTTGGCCTCCCTAGTTTTGAAGGTTCTCATTATCCATCCTGTCATTTTTCTAGCAGATGCGATTGATACAATGTTATGGTCCTTGAGGTGAGATCCTCCGACATGATCACTCCCAGGTCTTTGAGTTGGTGTTTTGCTCTATTTTGTGGCCAGAATTTTTTGTACTTGATGAAGATTTAATTTCCTCATGTTTACCATATCTGAGTAATTGAAAATTTCTCATCGTTGAACTTCATATTGTTTTCTGTGCCCACTGAAAGATTTGGTTGATGTCCGCCTGGAGCCTTGCAGTGTCTGCAATGGAAGACACTGTTATGCAGATTCGGGTGTCATCTGCAAAGGAAGACCGGTGCTGTGGCTGACATCCTTGTCTATGTCGGATATGAGGATGAGGAACAAGATGGGAGCGAGTACTGTGCTTGTGGAACAGAGCTTTTCACGTAGCTGCCTCAGACTTTACTCTGTTGACGATTACTCTCTGTGTTCTGTTAGTGAGGAAATTATAAATCCATCGACCGACTTTTCCTGTTATTTCCTTTAGCACGCATTTTGTGCGCTATTACGCCATGGTCACACTTGTCGAAGGCTTTTGCAAAGTCTGTATATATTACATCTGCATTTCTTTTTGTCTTCTAGTGCATTTAGGACCTTGTCGTAGTGATCCAATAGTTGAGACAGACAGGAGCGACCTGTTCTAAACCATGTTGCCCTGGGTTGTGTAACTGATGGGTTTTCTA